ATTATATTATGAGTTAACAACATTGACTGACCTACTCAAATTATTTGACCCTAAATACATTAGGCATCATGTGTTAATTAGCCCTACTCTTAATTACATTACATCTTTAAAACAAAATAATGTTAGGCTAACTAATTTTGTACAAGGTGAACTATGGAGAGAAAAAATGAAACTATACCCGGGAAAAACTTTAATACCTTATATTTTATATGTAGATGATTTTGAAATAAACAATCCTCTTGGGTCTAATGCTTCAAAACATTCCATTTGCAACTTATATTACTCATTCCCATGTTTACCAATGGAAGAATCTAGATTGGAAAATATTTTTTATGCTGCTATTACAAAGACATCAGATTTAAAACAATTTGGCAACGAAAAATGTTTTGAATGTCTCATAGATGAGTTAAAAGATTTAGAAATAAATGGAATTGATATTAATGATGGCAATAATGTAACAATCAAAATACATTTTATCTTAGGTTTAGTCGTAGGTGACAATTTAGGATTAAACTGTTTTCTCAATTTCAGTAAATCTTTCTCTAGCAGTTATTTTTGCAGACTTTGTAGAGCTCCAAAAGAAATGACACAGAAATTAAGCTGTGAAAATTCAGAATTAATGCGCACAGAAGAAAACTACCAGTTAGATGTTTTGGATCCCAACTCTAAAGGAGTTGTTAACAAATCCTTACTAAATAATATTCCATCCTTCCACGTAGTCAAAAACTACTATGCTGATATTATGCATGACCTTTTTGAGGGAGTCTGTCATTATAATATCATTCATATTATCAACTATTTTATTACTTCTATGAAACACTTTGATTTGGATACTTTGAACTCTCGAAAGGAATTTTTCGATTATGGCCCAAAAGAAATTGAGAATATTTCACCCAAAATACAGCTTCACCATCTTAAAAAAAAAAAATTAAAAATGTCTGCTAGGGAAATGATGACTTTCATTATGTATTTTCCTGTTATGATTGGAGATCTCGTTCCTTCAGATGACGTAGTCTGGAAATTTCTTATCAACTTTGTTGAAATCATTGATATTTTACTTTGTTTTGAGATTGATGAGTGTAATATACTGATTTTGGAAAATAAAATTAAAACACATAATTCTGACTATATCACTTTATTTAATGATACATTAAAACCAAAATTTCACAATTTGACTCATTACCCAAATATTATTAGACAATCAGGACCTCTAAGGAAGATATGGTGTTTCAATTTTGAGCAAAAACATAAACAGTTTAAAGTTTACTCACATTGTATAACCTCACGAAAAAATATATGTTTAACATTGGCTAAAAAGTATGAGTTAAAATTTGCATTTCAATTGTTAAAAGGGACAAGTTTTTTTAATGCTATTACTTCAAATGATAATCATCTGGTAGAGAGTAATTTCAAAAATCTCATTAATAATAAATTACCAAACGTTCATGACGTTTCCATCCAATTTTATTCACGAATTTATTTTAAAGGAGTTGAATACAGACAAGGTTGTTATATTTCAGTTTTTAATAAAAATATTTTATTAAACTTTATACATGAAATTGTAGTAGTAGAACGGAAGCATGTTTTATTTTTTTGTCAACAATTACATAGTGTAAAATTTGATGACCATATACTTGCATATGAAGTAGATCCTTTAAATTTAGGTTCATTTTCAATGATAGCTGCAGATGAAATAATTGGACCACCTATTCATTTAATTAGAACTGCAGAAGGCAAAAAAGTTATACGCCTTAAAGAATATTATCGTTGCATTTAGTTTTACATAATATAATAATAATAATAATAATAAAAATAATATAAATGTAATAGGTTAGGTTAGGTTATAATATAATATAATTGTAATAGGTACCTACCATTAATAGTAGGTTTTAATAATAATTAAAATAAATAATAATGACGCTAATCTATTTCTTTATATACCTGTAGTATTAATTTTTCTTAATTCAATTTGTTTGTATTTAAAATGACATAATATTATAAATTCAATTATAACCGTTCGAAGAATGGATGAAGTGGAAATTGAGAGAACTTTGGAAGTTGATGATGATGAAATCATGAATGCATTTTTGGATGCACAATCCCAAATGATGCTTCATTCTCAAGTTGAGCTAAACGAAGAAGGTATTGATACAGCCAACTCTCAAAATGAATTCATTATCATGGACATTTCTCAGTCAAATCATGCAAATAAAGAGATATTAACCTTCGAAGAAGTAAAACCAGAAGAGGTAGAACTTCGATCATTGCTATCTCAATGGAATCTCAATGAGTTGATTGATGCGTGCATTGGTAAACCAATTTTTTTTTTAAATTTCATATAGAAGCATATTAACAGTAACATAATTAGTAACTTATATTAATGGTTTACAGCTAAGAGAGTTTTTATCAATATTTTGAAAATTATAAAACGTCACCACATCGAACGTCTGCTAAAAGGTTTTGATCTGGGGACACAAATTCTGTTTGAGAATAAATTAGAAGAATGGCGTGAATCAATTGGGATTCCAATGAGTCCAGTTTATCTGGATTTTCAAGGCACATCATCCAGTTCTAGTTCTTCAAACAGATCAAACACAAATACACCCAGTGGCGGCTATCCTATGGTGGATGTGTTGCTTGAGCAACACATACAAAATTTGGTGGGTGG